AGGCTGAACATATCCAACCTCACTGGAGAAGCGCTATTAACAAACAGATCTCAGAACCATACTACATTAACAAGAGCCCATCCTGGCACGGCTCCTTGCGATATTTGACATTCAAGGTTGAGACAGATTCCGTGACAGGGAAATGAGATACGCTGCAACAAAACGTGTTGCCGGCGGCAGTGTCCATCCGGCAAAAGAATCCGCCACCGACGTAATTATCAGGCTGGCGATTCATTGTACGTTTCCAGCAATTCTGCCAGTCAGCCATGCGTGGAATATCGCGCTCGGAAAAGACACAATGTTGAGGGGATAATGATGGGGTATGCTGAGCAAATACCATACGGCACTGTACAGTGCTGTGAGGTAAGACTGGATACAGAAAGAGTTCGGTCCCAACAGCATGGGGCCTCGCTTTCAAGGTGTGGATCCTATCTCATACCTTGCACCCATGCATCACAGCAACAGGGAGACCCAGGAGGTCCTCTCTAGCGTCCCCGTGATGGTTCTCATCGGCAGGGCCAGGCGAAGTTGCCCTGGCTATCGCGGCTCGCACATGGACCTTGGCTGTTGGTTTCTTTTCCACCTTGTCGATGTGTGCTGTTGCATCATCAAACGCCCATTAGCTAACATTCGAAGATAATATGCGCGCCTTTCTAGGTCTGTGGACAGTGACGTAGCAAAATGCATCACCGTTAAGTCAAGAAACTCTGCTACATATGGGCGTGCGTCAACTAAAAGAGACGCAATGGGGAGAACGGATATTGGGTCATTGACGGTGACATGCATGATATTTCCCATGACTGTATGCTGAAGCAGGGCTATCTACTCCGTAAGGACTGTCAAAAGAGGGAGGGGGTTTCACTCCCATGGGTCGATGATTGCCTGCGGAACCCTGAGCGGAAAGGGGAAGTCGTATGCGTCTACCACACAGCATAATGACGAGCAAACACACCGACAGATATGTTTCGGTCTGGGGGGTTCGCCGCGGCAAGCGACAAAGGGGAAGTGTCATATGTCACAACCTTGGAACATCAAATCAAGCAAAAGGTGACAAAATGATATGAATTCATTCATTCATTCATACATACATTATGCTATACCATGCATACCCGGGCTAGAGCTGAGCATACATACATACGGAGTAGAGTTGAGCGAGCACGGCACGACGCGGTATTGACACTGATTGCGCAGTGGTCTGGGCTGAATCTTTAGCTAGAATCACCAGTCCCCGTCGCGTCTGGAGAAAGCTTGGACGGACCAGGACCAAGGGATAGACACAGGGGGGGGCCGGAGGAGCATTGCTCAATCAATATCGAGCACCAAGCCTCTGGGAAATGCCACGCCATAGGCATACGGCGTGCTGGAGATGAATGGTATTGGTCCCGGAGCCACGCCGGGCTCCAAGCTCTTGCCTTCATTCCTGGGGTGCATCTATGTATGTAAGTATGTATGTACATACGGGACGGGTGAGGAGGCACTTGGAATCAGACTCTCGCCCAAACACTCTGTTCTGGGAGTCTGTCTGTCTGTCTCTTGGCCGATCCGCACACTCTCGCTCGCTATTCAGCCTTTGGTTTGTGGGCCCCCTGCGCCCTGTCGTCCAGCCGTGGCTGTTGTTTCCTGCTATCTATCCCTGCAGGTAGGTAGTGGAAACTGAACAGCTTCTGAGCCTCTCCGACGGACCTTGATCATTTTTGTCCGTATACCGTAGATTCCAAGTCAGGTGCTGGTGCTGGTGTTGGTGTTGGCCAAGCATGCCCATACGTTTCTTTCTCTTTGCTATTCTCCCATGAGGCGTTGGATTGCCTCCGTACGCCTACACCCGTCGCCGAATATTTTCGGTGGGATTTTTGAGCTGAACTTAATATCCCCATCATGGCAAACAGAGTCCATCTGAGTTGCCTCAATGACCGCCGGAGAGGCTGACCTGCGTGCAAATGAGTTCGGGCAACATGGACAAGTTGGGGGAATGGATCCGAAACCTGGCGTCGTGTCTGAGTCTGAGAGTCAGTAGAAGAGCAGAAGTCATGTTAGGCTGTTCTGGAACTTTGCAAAGGTTTGGGGCGTTTCCCATCAGAAGGCGGCGAAACCGTCTAGGTCAGCCATGACTGACTCGGCCTGGTACGTCGTGTCGTGTCGTGTCGTGCCATGCCCTAGTTATCGTATCGCGCCGACAGACAGACAGACTATCCCATATGCCGCTATTGTTGCCGTCTTGCACGCACATCGAGGCAGCGACACTCAATCTCGAGATTCCATGTGCGTCACTGGATAATTTCAATCGAGATTAACATTGTTCTCATGATGCGCGCCCGCGTCTATCCGCACCACATCGACATCAGCCTTGATTTGATATTCAACCTGAGTAGTGCCCAACTCTTGGTCAGGGGCAAGGCGGGGTCTATCGATGTTGATCTTCATGATTACAGTACATCTCATTCGCTACCCTGTAGCTGAAGTCATGGGAGTATATTTTTCTAATTCTCCTCATCGATCGAGTACTTGGGTCGTCAGTTTGAGGGGCTGCCTTATCCATTTGGTGGTGAGCCCAACCTGACAAATTGCTGCAGCATTGTCTCGTAATTTGGGCTATGTATATGCTTGAATGTGCTACATGGTCTTGCCATTCGTGAAAACTTGATACATGGTTGGCATGTCCTGAACTGCCAACCTAGCCATTAAGGGGAATCTCAAGATATTGGGCTGGGCATAAATATTTTCTGCATATCAGTTATTAACCCAAACAAATCTTGGCCTGAAAGATAGGTCATGTCTTGCATATCGTTGATGATGATCTACCAGACGCTATTCCTTGATCTGGCATACTCATCCGGCGCTATGGGCGGATCACGACCAGCCGTTGGTGTTGAAAAGCTTGTCTCACCAGGCACTCCTGGCACTCCAATATACTGAAGCTATTCAATTTCAGGGCTTCCCCAAGTCTTGGCCAAGACAGAAAAGCTGACTACTATCCCGTGGTGATCAGTCAACTGCTCAGAGAAACACGTACGCCGCCAGGTTGCCGTTCATTATGTTCACAATGGCCGGTGAGATCTTACGTGGACGGATGCACCGGTGATAAGTCTTCGCTGGAAGCAACCGATTTGATAACTTACCCAGATCCAGGAGCAGATCAAGCCTGACAGTCAGCAGCTTGAAATAGAAATCAATCAAGTCCGGCTGACCAAAATATGATGTCAGGGCTTGAATGGTTTGACCGAATGAACTCTTCAAGAACCTTTGCAAGAGGGACGACCAGATACCAATTCAAGTCTTGAGCCCACAGCCAGCAGTTGCAAAGAAGAGCGGAGAAGACGAGGTAATTCAAACAAGAGCCAGAAGGTGATCAACCCGTAGGTATGCAACCAAGGCTCTCTTTGCTGCACCACCATCCGCAGAAGAGTCCTGCTTATCAAACACATTCTTAGCAATGAATGCCCTTACTAGACTATATTGATACACTGATTAATGCTACGTCCATGTTCCTATGGCAGGATCTTTCAGTGCCTCAACACGACACGACTTTTCATGTCACTATGCTATGTATTGTGAACAGGCCCAAACAGAAGGTGGCTTGAAAATGAAAGATGCTGACCATCCAGATTCGCCGCTTAGAGAGGATCGCACAGCCATAAGTCAATGATATAGGACCTATAGAGAACACGCCCATAGGCCTGGGTGCTGGATTGGCTGGGTCAAGAGGGCATAACGGGGAGTGTCAACGAGTCTTGCTTGTGGCCCTTTTGCACAAGGGGAACTCAACTATTCGTACGTGAGATTGATGACGACAGAATTGGTTGCATTCTTTAATGCCAACAATTAAGGTCTTACCAGCAGGCATACGTTGATGAGTACGCCTGCTGATAAGGGGTGATTGACCAAAGCCAGAGGAAAGTTGGATGATATCCCGCAATGTCGACGAAGTTTGAGTAGCCGTGCTAGATTACTACAGAGTTCACGAGCTATCGCGCAGCTCTGGACAGATACTTGTATACCTCGATGGCCCAGAGTGTTAAAGGGCTGACTCTGACGGTAAGCCGAGTCCGCACACATGAACATGTAGGTGCATACAAGCCCAGGCGACAGACAGACAGCCAACTAACTAACTCGACAAAGCATTCGGTGGCCAACTCTCTGTCAATTCTGTCAGCGTCTCGAGGCACCAAGGAAACCCGCTGGTGTACAAAGGTCCCTAAGGAGATAATCGTGGTCCTAAAACACAAGGCAATTATCCTAGATACATCCAGACAACAAGACGCAAACTTCAAACAGCATCGAGAATCATCTCTGGCACTGAAAATACAACTGATTGCGATTAAAACCTGTGTCTCGTTCGATGGGAGCACGAGTTTGGGGAGAGACATGGAAACCAACTCGTGCGTGTGAGAACCGGGGATACTACCAGAGCACATCGGTTAGGGAGCAACCGACAACATCAAAGGCAGTGATATACCCCGACATGTATGTAACAGTGACCTAGGAATGTTTCTCTCCAAATACTTCGACGGGCCGATACTTTTCTGCAGGTGCCTAGTCGCGCGATAGCTTACATTCAGATACGGATACACTTTGAACATAGAGTGAGTCGTGTTAATTGAGTGAACTACAATTGTCTATTGAACATACAGCTCGACTCTTGACAGATTGTCATCGGCCTCCAGAGCACGAGGCCTCCAATAAAGGTGGGATAGTTCCCCCTATCTCCACCTGCGAGCGTTTTCCATACCGCTCGACACGATATCATCATCCCAATCTAAAGCCATTATTTCGAATAACATAAAACAGAAAACGAGAAAATGCCACATAAAGTGCGTGACCAAATCGATCCGCAATCAAACCAGGAATCCAGACTCGCATGACGAGTCAAGTCTAATCGAATCACCTATCTCTAACAAACAAACGCCTTGGGTGTCATATACTTTTGAGAGTCCGAGGATCCGTAATGTGAGGCTGCCTGATCCGTATCACCAGAGGGTAGTAACCCACTATGAATAAACCTCTTACCACCGACGGTTACGGTTGCCGATGGGCTGGTTGTTGGCGTTGGCTGGAGGTCCAGTCAGCTCGATAGGTATCTAGCTGTTTCAGCGTCGGCGATACCCACCTCTACCACCACCACCGCCGCGACCACGTCCCCATCCACCGTAGCCGCGTCCACCACCGCCGCCGCCATATCGAGTCATCTCAGCAAGGCGAGGGTCAATCTGCTGCTTGGCCTCCTGGAGAACATTGACAAGATCACGGGCCTGCTTCTGGTCTAGGAAGATCGTTAGTATGTACCGTACTGAGATGATAAAGCTGAAGGATACTCACTGTCAGTAGTGAAAAGGGTGATAGCGGTACCGTTGGCACCAGCACGGCCGGTACGACCAATTCTGTGAATGTAGTCCTCCGAGTTGTTGGGGTAGTCGTAGTTCAACACATGAGTGATGTTGCGCACATCTTTAGCAAGAATGGTTAGCAGGCGAAGCAGGGGTTTGTATAGCAACGTTCCAGCATGGAAGATGAAGGTGAATGGCCAAGCATATTGGCAGGCCATCTGTACTTCACTCCTAGCGGAGATGGGGCAATAGAAAGTGCGTCAAAATGCCATCCTGGAGTATGCGGGTCATTGGGTCCTGGGTACAAGAGAACCTTGGCCAGCAGCTTGATCAAAGGCAATAATATGCCAACTCCACACTCGTACCACGGGGGTGAGAACGGTACAAGAGTGAACACACGTGAGTATAGCAAAGTGAAGGCTACACAACGGATCAAGACCCCGTTGGTTGAGAACCAATTGGACACGATAATTATCAGGCAGATTCGCACAGTCAAGAGAGCCCCTAAACATGAGAGTAAAGTACAGCAAGTGCTGTCGCTGGAAGTTGCCATGAGGATGGGGGGGTGATGATACATACCGATACCACGCGAGGCTACGTCAGTAGCCACCATGATGGGGGACTTTCCAGTCTTGAACTGGTCAAGCACCCAATCACGCTCGTTCTGCTGCTTGTCACCGTGAATGGCTAGCATATGTTAGTAGCTGTTCTGTCATATTGTTGTGGGATGATGCATGATACTTACAGAGCGCAGGCCATCCATCCTGGCGGAGGAATCGAGTGATTTCGTCGGCAATTCGCTTTGTACCGACGAAGATGAGGATCTTGTTCTCCTTGTTCTCCATAACCTTCTCAAGGTGCTTGATCATGCGGTCTCGCTTCTCCATGTCTGTGACAACCTCGACGATTTGTGTGATACGGTGGTTGGCAGCAAGCTCCATGGAACCAATGTTGACCTGAATGAAGTCCTGGAGGAAGTCGGAAGCCAGAGCGCGGACCTCCTTGGGCCAAGTAGCGGACCACATCAGAGTTTGTCGGTCAGGTCGAATCTGGCCAATAATCTTGCGAATCTGGGGCTCGAAACCCATGTCAAGCATGCGATCAGCCTCGTCGAGAACGAGGTAAGTGACACGACGCAAGTTAGTCTTACCAGCCTCAAGCATGTCAATCAAGCGACCAGGAGTGGCAATGCAGACTTCAACTCCTCGAGAGAGATCGCGAATCTGAGGACCCTTAGGGACACCACCGTAAACGCAAGTGTTTCGGATGCGAGAAGATCGGCCAAACTTCTTCATCTCTTCCTGAATCTGAACAGCAAGTTCACGAGTAGGGGCAAGGACGAGAACAATAGGGCCGTCGCCAGGAGCAAGGAGAGGTTGAGCGTTGATGTGGACAATGGAGGGGAGACAATACGTAAGAGTCTTTCCGGAGCCTGTCTCGGCAATACCAACGACATCACGACCGGAAAGGGCCATGGGCCAACCCTGAGACTGAATAGCAGTAGGGGCAGGGAAGCCCTGCGCCTTGACCTCATCCATGACATATCTGGGGAAACCAGCCTCATCGAATGTCTCGACGGGTCTGGGAACATCCTTGCCAGCGATGGTCATCTGGTGCTTGCGGCGAAAAGCTTCCACTTCAGCGTCAGATCGGCTTGAGACATCAGGGTGCTCCTTGTAGAAAGACTTCTCGAACTTGGGGAGGGCGTTGACATCTAGATGAACGTTAGTAGGCGAAAACAACAATATGGCAAGCGAAACACGTACCCCACTCTTGGTTCTTGAGGCCAGCGCCGAGGGCGCCCATACGGTCACCGCCAGCACCTCCTCCATAGCCGCCTCCGAAACCACCTCCTCCGCCGCCGCCGCCGTAACCATTTCCGTTACCTCGGCTGTGTTAGTGTTAGCGAAATGCGATAAAGAATTAGATTGAAAACACATATGTTGGTGGTTGGGCGCGTTGTTGCTGGGGAAGCGACCACGCCTCTAAGCTGAAACCACCAAATCTGCGCTCAAACCACAAAGAAAAATCGACTTACCCTCCGTAGCCACCACCGCCGTAACCATTGCGGTCACCACCTCGGTCACCACCACGGTCGCCGCGATCACGGCCGTAACCACCACCGCCGTAGCCACCTCCTCCGCGGCCACCGCCGCCGCTGTATCCGCCGTCGTAGCCAGACATTATTTCAGATGAAGAGAGATAAGACGGAGCCGTTTGGAATGGACCCGTCTAGGAAGGGGGAAAGGGGAGTATTAGAATAAAGAGAGACGTGGGATGCGCTATATAATATCTCGAAGTTACGAGATTAGCCTTCTGTTTGATGAAGAAGGAGTGCGCGCCCGAAGGATGAGATGATGAATGGGAAAGGGAGAGATGAATGGAGGATGTGTGAAGTTTTAAGAGAACAGGCTCGGACGCGCTGACCATGTAATTTTTTTTTTTTGCTTTCGCCGCTAGGCAAGTCCGCCTCGGAGACCCATATAATACTCGAAGGCGGTGGTATGATTGGACCAGGTTGGTCCACTGAATATGAACCCTTAAGATCGCCACCTTAGTCAGGAACCTTGTGGATTCCTACCCTATACTTCCAGTTTTTTCCACAATTTCTTATCGTAAGACCTCACATAACAACAATCGGTTTAGGTAGCTGGTGTTAGTTCTTCTTCCATTCTTTATCTATATGTAGTGCTCTAATTATTTGTGGGGCAAAACACAGAAACGAGCGTTGTGTCCAGCAATTGCGTAGCGCCGGCATAGGTTGTTGATAAATGCACGTCCTAAAAGTCAGTGTATAATACTCCAGGCGCACGGATAGTAAAGCCTAAGTGTATCAGGAACAGCCCAAAACACTCACGCCGAAGAGATTGCTGTATGTCTGTAGTGGTAGAGCTAGCATGAAATAAATGCATCAATTGTCATAGCGCGAAATAGCTGGTCGCATATTGAATAAGTCGGTGATAATCTGTTACTCCCCAGTATCTACCTACTCATCCATTTGCTCCTTTTTCCACTTTGCATCCAGGGCCTCCTCTAAAGCGCCCCTGAACGCACCGACAAAGCCCCAGCAATCTAAGAAGGTATTATACAGCGGCGCGGGTGCTACTCTAATCACATTAGGTCTGCGCTCGTCAACCAGAACGCTCCGCCTCTCAAGACCAGCCATAACCTCATCAAGCAGTCCATCGGCCAGGAGAATGCTCACCTGCGCCCCACGACGTTCTTGCTCACTGGGCGTGATGATCTTCCAGTATGCGCCCATGTCCTGCGGCAGTTTCTGTAGCTCAGAGACGAGATAAGCCGTCAATCTGGTGCTCTTTTCCCGTAGAGGAGCTATACCACCGGCTAGCTCGAATACCTCGAGGGAAGCACAAAGGGATGTTATGTCGAGTACGGAGGGATTGCTGAGTTGAAACCCTGCTGCGCCAGGAACAGGAACGAAACCAGGCCTCATCGCGAATCGGTTCTTCTTGTCGTTTCCCCACCAGCCGGCGAGTCTCACGTTGTGCGATCCATCGTCCCCAACCTGCGTGTGACGTTCGTGAACAAACAGACCTCCAATACAGCCTGGTCCGCCATTCAAGTACTTGTATGTGCACCAAGCAGCCGCGTCGACGTTCCAGTCGTGTAATGAGAGAGGCACGTTGCCTGCAGCATGAGCGAGATCCCAAATGACGAATATGCCACGCTCGCGAGCAAAACTAGTCAGATGTGGAATGTCGAGGAGCTGGCCCGAGTAGTATTGGATACCTGGAAGGAGAAGCACTGCAGTAGTGGAGGCGTGCTTCTCGATAATGGACTCCACATATTCGTTAGAGAGAATGTCCTCGTTATTCGGAGGCTCAATGGTGATCATCGAGTCTTCAGGACGGAGTCCGTGATGCCGTATTTGTGTCTCGACAGCATACTAAGCATTTGTGTTAGCACCTCAATTGCCCAGTGCTGAGTTGAAGCACTGACATGATCACTTGGAAATGCTTTGCTCTCTAGTATGATTTTATGCCGTCCCTTAACATCGGGCTTGTAAAATGCCGCCATCAATAAGTGAAGATTGGCCGTGAGAGTCTGCATGACAGCCACTTCGCTGACCTTGCCGCCCACAATTGGGGCAATCATCTCGGCCGCACGAGCATCAACGTCTAGCCATGTTGGCAGAGGAGAGTCATCGAGGGGCTTGAAGTGGCCCTGTACACCTTGTGTGCGCCATGTCGCGAGGTATTGCTGTATGCGATCCAAAGTGCGTTTGGGCTGAAGACCGAGAGAGTTGCCTACGAGGTAAATTGCTCTATCATTGGCACCTGCAAGAGTCAGACCAATATCGAGGATACGCTACATATCAGAGAAATACACTGACCCGTGCTGTCACTGGTAGGGAGAGTTTTGCGAGCTACATCAGCTTTGGAGGGGATGTTGAACTCGTCGCGAGTGTGTCTGAGAGCATCATTGGAGTCCAGCTCGATGGCGTGGTCCCTGCCAGAAAGCTTGGGGGAGTCACTCATGGTCAAGAGCACAGGACAGATCAGGTTATATCGTGCAATGGGTTGCCCACCTGGGGTCTAGGGAATGAGCAATTCTCTTCCCCACGTTACGTTCTATGAGCAAAGTTATTAGTACCTAGCTAACAGAGGCGACAAGCTCCGCATATCGGCTTGACGCGGGGAGCTTCTGCCCCGCAGTCAAACTTGGGAGCCCCGACCATTTGGAGATGCAAGATTTGATATCCACATGAAGAGCATGAGGCCAGCCCAGACATGGCATCTAAGTTGCATATGATGCAGAATCTTCATGTGAAAGGTAGATCCAAACCTTCATCATACTGCCTATAGTACGTACACTACGAAAGATCAACTCAAAGAGGGCACTCACAGGCACAAGCAAGACCTGCGTATTTGTTCACGATATGAAGTTTTGTTGATTCTTTTCCCCCCATCTTCCACAAGTCTCCCTGCTTTTCGCTTTTCTGCGCACTCTAGCTATGTCATACAAGGGGCCTGCCTCTCCCATCTATATCCGTGAACAAAGAAAAAAATTACAGAACCAAAAAACGAAGTAAAGAAAGACCAAAGCGAGGTTTACAAAATGAAGCATCCCATCCCAAGCCCGATTCTAATCAGACATCTATTAGTCCGGCCCAGTTAATGCACAATGCTCCAAGTACACCCTCCCAAGAACAGATCGTCGTAAGATGCAGTCCGTGGACAACATAAAGTCCGCTGCTATCGCATCTCATATCAGGGTATCGAACCTTGTTGCATAAAAGGTTTTGTTGGATCGAGGGTTTACTCGCGAGAGACGTCACGGCCAAAGGCCTTGGACTTCAGCCAGTCAACTGCGACCAGCACACGGTTTCGGGCTAGGGAACTCCTGTTAGCACGATGGATAATGTCAATGATAGTTTGTGATGAACTTACTGCTGAAGCACATAGAGAGGTAGGCGCTTCGCCAGAACAGGTAGGTCAAGCCGCCGCCACTGGCAATGTTACCGTTGAACCAAGGAACATCAGCAACAGCCTTCTCGCTACCAATGTAGGCCAAGCTACCCTGGTGGGAGTATCGGAAGGGCTTAACGTCCTTGATTCGGCGAAGCTGCTTCTCAAGGCTCTCGATCTCAGCGGCGACCTCAGCAGAGTTACCCTGCTTGAGGTTCAAGCTGCTGCTGAGCTCCTTGATGCGAGCCTCCTGAGAGTCAGTCTTGGCCATGTTGTTGAACAGGCGGGCCAGGAAAGAGCCCTCCTGGGAGGCGACCTGAGCTGTAGGGGCGTAGCCAGCAACGGCGCAGTCACCGACGGCCCAGATATCGCGGGTGCCCTGGACAACAAGGTACTCGTTGACAGCGAGACCACGGCGAGAATCCTTCTGGGCGGGTACCTTGCCCATGAGGTCACGGACAATGGGACGAACAGCGTTTCCGGTGGCCCAGACAAGCAGGCCGTAAGGAATACGGAGAGTTTGCTTGCTGCCATCGGGTCCAGCGCACTCAGCCTCAACAAAGTCCTCTGTCACCCTCTTGACCATGGTCTTGAGCTTGATGTCAATGTTCTCCTCGCGTAGGGTGTTCTCGGTGTACTCAATGAGCTGCTTGGAGAAAGAAGGGAGGACGTTGGGAAGGGCCTCGATAAGAGTGACCTTGAAGCGCTGGCTGATTTCGGGAATCAGCTTCTTGATGTCGTCCTCGAAGAAATCACGGAGCTCTCCAGCAAACTCGACACCAGTAGGGCCACCACCGACAACGACCATGTGCATGAGACGGTCGATCTCTTCTTGGGATTGACCCTTGAAAGAAGCGCGCTCAACACAGTCCATAATCTTCTTGCGGATCAGCTGGGCATCACCAATCTCCTTGAGGAAGCAACTGTTCTCGCGGACACCGGGAATACCGAAAGTGGCATTCTCAGCACCGACACCAATGACGAGCATGTCGTAGGGGATCTCAGTCTGAGAGTGAGGGCCCTTGCCCTCGGTGTTGTCCTTGATTTTGACAACCTTACGGTCAGGGTCAACAGAGGAAGCCTCAGCTTCGTAGTACTTGACGGCACCCTTCTTGTGGCGGAGGATGGTGCGGACAGGCTCCATGATAGAGCGGTGCTCAATGAGACCTGTTGTGCATGAAGGCAGGAGGGGAGTGAAGAGGAAGTAGTTGCGAGGAGAGACGACGATGACATTGTAATTCTCGGTGTCGAGGTTCTTCAGGAGACCAACAGAGCCCCAACCGGATCCTAAGGAAGGGTATTGCGTCAGTGACTTGGGATGGTATACAGGAGGAGCGCCTATAGGCATGGGCGCAGAATTACTCACCCAGAACGACCAGAGTCTTCTTGGAAGGGTCAGGCTGGTACTGCTCTTGAGGGTGGCGGTCATCGTAGATAACATAGCATGTGTAACCAACGAGAGCACCGAGAGAGAGGTATGTGAATCTCCATGTCCAGCGGAGGGTTCGTCGAATCTTGCCAGGCTTGGGCTTGGGCTTGGGGGCCTCGTCAGCATAGGCCCTTCGGAAGGCAATACGGCCAGAGTTGTTGAGTTTCATGGCGATAGAAGGTCGAGCAGAGGTCTTGGAGGCAGTAGAAAGGGCGCGAGTCGCAATGCGACTGCTGGGGGCCATCTGGCCGACCCGGGAGAGGGCCGTCATGGCTCGCGCGGAGGAAGCCATTGGGAGGATCTGGTAGAGAGGAGCTCAATTGGGA